GCTAAGATTAAAGTATGAGTAGAATGAAGTAATATTTTAAGTAAAAAAGTATAGGTTAGAAGGTAACAAATAGGTTACCTTACCTATTATATGAAATGTATTTAACATTCTGTTGGCCAGTATTTTTCATGTTGGTCTTCTCTCATCTGACACGATATTATTCAATGATGAAACCAGTCTCTCTGATGCCACTGATCTTCCGACCAACGACATGTATTTTTTAGCTATAAAAACCAAGCCTGGCATACAGGTTCTGTGCTGCTCAAGAATGAAAAGGGAACACTACATCTCGGCAGCAAAGGCTGCTGCAGATATAGAGTCAGTTCATTTGGAAAAGAACTCTAAATCCGTGTGTCCTGAGAACTTGAACTGGAACCACTGTTCACCAACTCCAGATCGTGTGAAGACCAAAGAGGGTTTGATTTTAAACTCACTTTGGCTTTTTTATTCTGGAAGGAGCAGAAAGGAGAAAGTTTTCCGATTTCGGTAAGGTACGTCCTTACTTCCGAGCCTAAATTGGATGTGACTGTCTCCGCTATAGACAGATTCAGATATAGTTTTTCGAACCTAGGCTCTGTGATTATAGCATGGCAAAGCAGGGGGTTTCGTAAAAGCTTAGTGCCCCTCTTTTGAAGGTTAGTTATAAGCTTTTGGCATAACTTTTGGGCTGTATTAAGATTTGGCTTAAGGTTTTTTAAAGATCTTTCGATATACGATATACACAAGGGGGATAACAAGACTAGCAGTAATGTACTGGAAACCCGAGATCTCCTTTGTGGCCTCATCAAAAGGTGATAAAATTGTTACAATTTCAGTGATTAGTTCTATATCTGAACCAAAAATCATCCTTGGTGCTTTTTTAATCGAGGGATCTGCCAGTATTGCAGCTATATATGGGGACATTAGTGTGAATCTTTTAAGCATATGGTAGACAGAATTTCATCTGGTTGGTACGGATTGTACCAAAAGCTTCACTTCACCCTCTGACTTGCCCTCCCGTTCCTGCTTCATCCGTAACCTTTTCATGAAGAGATTGCTGTGCCTAGAGAAAGTGACTATGGCTTTTATTTCGTTTATTACATTTTTTAATGCTACATTGGTTATATCTTCTAGGCCATCTGTGACAACTAAATTTAATATGTGTAAAATGAAGCAGAGCTCACACTCGCCTCAGAAGGAGATGAAGATGCTTCCTGATCGCCTCTATGCAAAAAAGTTCCGATGTCCGCCAGTTCTTTATCCTAAGCAAAAACAAAATTCCCCTATTAATTCCTTTACTTAATTTTTTCTATGAAATGAGCTTACCTTTGGCTTATTTTCCAGATATTTTGGATGTTTATTTTTTAGGTGCTGCCTCAAATTCGTCGTGCCTCCTCCTTGTTTTAATATTTTCAAACAAATAGAGCACTGTGCCTCATGTTGCTACTCTTGGAAAACAAATTCCACACAAACGATTTCGACATGGTAAAAATGAAAAATTCAAAACTTGAAGATGAAAAGATAACGGCGTTGTTACTAGATTTATTTAGGCACTCCTAAAGTATAACTGGTCTTCAATGTCGTCATGAGAATTACTTGATTACTTGGATCGAAATTACATTTGATTTATGTGAATCCCAAAGATTTATGAATTTCAGTAGTCAGATGTAGAGAACAGTAAACCAAAATTATTATACTACTGCTCAACAGAGAGCGCTGAAATAATTCAGGTTCTATTGTCATTGAATATATTATGAGAGTAGAATATAATATGCAATTATTGTATTCAATTAAATGATGCAAATTTAATTTACCCTTTGAAAATATAATCCTCTAAAATACACACCAATTTTCCTCTCCTCCCAAACCCAAAAAATTCCCCAACCATTTCAACTTATAAAAAATTTCCCAGACTCTTCAAATGGGATTTAAAAAAAATATAAACATACATATTTTACTTAAAAATAAATTGGATAATGCAATTCATCTTATATTTTTACTACCATCTAAAAAATATATCATGTATAACTTTTAACACGTTTGTATATTTGTTTAATAGGTACATTAACTCATTTAATACTTCCTGTATTATTTTGAAAACGTAGGGAATTCATTGGAGATTCGTATTTGTATTCGTATTCGGTAATTCGATATTCATAGTCAGAATATTATTATTTTTGGTAATCAGAAAAAGCCATTCAATGACCCAGTTTCAATGTCAAGAGTCAAGTGTAAAAAATATGTAATGTACCAGATCACTTCTTATGTAAGTTATATGTATATTATGATTACAAATACCTTTTCAACGAAATATTATAACAAAACTTAATTGTTTCTGGCTGATATGAGTTTGCATTTTCAGTTTGCTTCTGTATTTATAAAATAAAATAAAATTTGAATTATAGTTTTGTTTGGAATAATTACTTGAGAATAATAATTATGATTGGAATCCAAAATAATATCTAAATAATACTAATAAAACTAAAAAATCTAATAACAGGTTTTTACTTTAAAATTTTTAACTTAAATTAAATAAAAAAAATTATTTTTGTGTGTGTTTTTTACATTCTTAAAAACATTATTTTTGGAGACTACGCCGGACCAGTTACGTTACTGCTAGAGTTAAGGAAAAAAGAGTTTCAAGTGTTTCCAATCCATTTCAAAATCCAAATTAGGAAATCCATTGATTTTCTTGTGAAACCCAAAAATAAAAAGGAATATCTAACTACATGCTAAATATTCTTTTTACCAAAAAGCCCTACTGCAAACATATTGCAATTCTCTCCATTATAAAAGACAATTTTTTATCGTCTATGTCTATTGTGAATTTCATTCATGCAATATTTAGTAATCTCTGATTCCCTTAAATTAAAAATGTTTTAAGCACGTATTTTATTTAATCATTCCAAGTTCCAGATTTTTACAGAAGTGGTTTTAGAGTTATTCGAACTATCCTCATTTTATCGTAAAACGAATTGATATCATAGTTAGAAAACGTGATCTACTAAATTTTTGGTCAAACTTTGCAAATGATCCAAATTCCTACGTCTATAAGTTTTTAATCCGACTTTAAAATTTACTGAAAGGTTTGTTAACTCTATTCGGCGAACTTTTCAATTTTGAGGATTGAACAGACTCTAACAATGAAGATAACACCATCGCTATTCCAGCACTCTTTTTAGAATTAGGAAAAGTTGGCATTTATACCACAAACTATTAAAAGTTTTAACAAGACTAACTTTTAGTTGATCGTTTTTTATTTACTTTAATGCAATACGAAAAACTAAAAGAAATCGTTAAAATATAGACATGTGCGTAGTTATTAAATTAATTATCCAGTGCACAAATAAAATAACCCGATATAAAATACACTTTATGAAATTGGCTGGCTGGCGGTTGCTTGGACTACTATTACAAAGGCTGGGGATAAGTTTACAAACAAATAAGTACATATTACTAAAACGATTAGGTCATGTACAAACTTAAACTTAAAGCATATAGCAAACGCGCAGAGACAAGGAAAAAAAAAAGAAATAAGTAAAACCTCTCCCTTGGGGTAGATTATTATTATTGGTACATGCCAACACTAGAGATATAAGAGCCTGTCAAACATTATGTAACAGAATCAACGATTCCTTTAAAGACAAATAGCTGTACAAAACAAAAACAGTTGCCAGAGATAAACTACAATGGCTGGGGATAAGTTTACAAACAAATAATTAATGTGAAATAATATATATATATATATATATATATATATATATATATATATATATATATATATATATATATATTACTATAACGATTAGATGAAGTGCATTTAAAACATGTTTAAGTTTACACATATTTATAGGTAAAATAAAACTCAGAGTTAAAGCATACATCAAATCCGAAGGGACAAAGCAAAAAAATAAGTAAAACCTCCTCCTATGGGTAGATTAATACACTGGTAAACACACAGTTTGCTGCCAGAATTTTTTTTTACTGTTTCTAGGTAATTTGGGTCTGCTGAATTCAAAAATGTCACTAGATTTGTTCCACTGAATTTGATTCATGCACTGATTTGTGCACGGAAATTTGAAAATTTCAGCCGTAATTTGCCATCATATGAGTGTCCCATCTCCCCTGATACCTTTCTTTCATTGTTTTGATATTTTGGTGGAAGCGTTTCCCTTGTTCTTCACTAAGGCCTAAGTGGCTGTAAATGTAATGAATTTTAATACTCATATGTACCGTGTTTGTAAAATTGTCGAGAATTTCTTCCACTATATCCCGGTAATTTTCCGATTTATTGTTTCCAAGAAAATTTTCCCTCAATTTTCACAAAAGAGCACCATGCATTACATTCAATTTCAGTCATCGACTCCGTAAAATGAGAATCTTCTTATAAGTTTTTGTATTTAAGGTTCATCAAATATTCCGATTTTCAATTTTTCTTTACTAAATTTAGGGAATTTGCTGGACGATTCTGGTCGAGGGCGTTTACAAATTGTTTCATCAGCCCTAGTTTAATATTTATTACTAAACTAGGAGGTAATATTATTTTCTCTCAGTCGACCAATGCTACGTTAACTACTTTAATTTCTTCTTGAACTAAAGCCTCTTTAGCACGACATTTTCTTCTACTCCAGTGTTGGCGCTGCTATCCCCTATTAGCCCTGCTATTCCAAAGACACAGGAAACAAAGATATTTTGTAAAGTCACCTTGTTATCCCAGGGGAAAGTTCTTCATTTTAAAATCAATACAGATCGCCCACTGATATTGGTCATAGTTGATGTTTTTTTATCAACAGCGATATTGTTTTATATTCTTCTTTCATTTTTATAGAATACCCAATTGGTATACTTTTATATTTGTTGTCATTATGTAGGACACGCTTTAAATTTTATTGGAACTGTTGATAAAAAGACGCCAATGATCTGGTGTATATTCCGATATACCAATTTTTTGTAACAGTCCATTAATATTGTTACAAAAGACCATACCATCCTGCTGAAAAAAGCAAAGATCTTTTTCTCTATTACGGTAGTATGTAATTTTTGGTGTCTGGGTAAAGAAGATTTTTTTCCTTTAGTCTGGAGTCAAGAAACTCAGTAGAATCCTTTGGAAGGTTCAAATTTTTGATAACATCGCTTAGCTCTTCCTGAGTAAATCTCTCGGGACGTGTTGAATCCTCTTCAAAATCAGTGTCATCTTCGTCAAATCTGTTAGTCTGTAGTTCGTCAAATAACATTTCCACATTATTCTCTGATAACGTAGGTAGACTGCTAAATATTAGAATGTGTATCTGCTTAAGCTTATGTGAAATTGGTAATATTGCTGAATTCAGGTTAGGATATGTCCACGTATGTCGATTGTTACGATTAATGGCCTTTATATTTACAAGACAGGAATATCAATCGTCAAAATGATTTATTGGTTCCCTCCATACCATTGAAACACCAAACTATAAACATTTTTATTGTCCTTTCTTCCATTGTCGCAAGTTTTCAAGACCAGTTTTTCACACTACATGTGGAGCGCAGGATTTATATTGATCTTCTAAATGAACGCGAAAATAGGCTTGATATGAACTTTTAATAAAATCACAAACTGGTTTTCTACTTTCTTTTACAATGTACTTGCCACATATGTAGCAAAGTTTTTTTACAAACAAAGTGCAATGATAGTGATAAAATATACAGAAATGTTAGCAATAACTACATGCAAGCCACACAAGACAGAGACAGATGAAAAGAGCTAAGGAGACCTATGTCCAGCACTGGACGCATACAGGTTGATTATGATAATAAATGTACGATTACATAAAATATCGAAAACGAGAGCTGATACAAATAAAAGGTTTGTATTTTTGGAATCGGCACAGATGAATTAACCAAAAACAGTTGATTTTTTTTGGCAGCAAGACAAATTTTGTTGGGTGGGTTGTGTTATTAATGGTACATACCAATACTAGAAATATAGGAGCCTGTCAAACATTTTGTAACAGCATCAATGAAACCTATAAAGACAAATAATTGTATGAAACAAAAACACTTAACAATAGAAAAGATATTTCAAATCATTAAGAATGAGAAAATGTCTCAACCCATATAAAAGTTTACCACTTTTACCTTCAGGCTTCCCCTTAAAATCCCCTGTCGTAGTGGGGGAAATGGAAAAAACTAATTTACAAAGAATATGCACACAATTACAAAGAGACCTTGCATAAAGAAAATATTGTCCGCTCCACTCTTCAATCAAAATTCAGCCGTCGAAAATATTTGCGCCAATCCTCGCGGCAATCCTCGCGCCAACTACCACTACCATAGACGGTACAAATTACCCATTCGCTGGTCCCAGTAGCAGTAATGCATTAAGTAGAATCAATGTGGTAGTGTCTCGTACATTTTGGTAAAGGTTTGATCTTGTTTTCACTGTGCGCTAGTTTTTCATCTTCTTCTTCTTCTCCTTTAGTCTTAAGTATTCCAACTTTGCATATATGCATCACCAAATCAATTAAGTGTTTTCTATTTTGCGCGACTTGCTTCCAGTTGTGTCCTCCGATGTTCTTAATGTCATTAGCTCATCTCATTTGTGGTCTTCCTCCTCTTTTCTTTCCTAATCATGGTCTTTATTTTTGTATTTCGTGGTTCCATCCTTGGATGGATCATGGTTTTATCTTTTAGTCGGTCATTGTGTCTTGCGAAGATCCAAGCATTGTTAATGCATGTGTTAATATTATATATAAGCATTGTGTATTGGGAGTCTATCCTACCGTTGTTCATAACTCTTTCTATTGCCCAAAGTTCTATGGAGTCGAATGCCTTTTTATAGTCAACTAAACTAATGTATAAGCTCAAGGGATATTCTTTGGCTTACTTTATTAGCATTCTGACTGTAAGAATAGGATTCGCTGTACTGTTAGCCTGTCGGAATCCTGCCTGCTATACCGGTTGATAGCTATCGAGCATCGACGTTAATCTGTTAGTTATTACTCTCATAAACAGTTTGTACATTTAGGATAGCAAGAAGATTGCCCTATAGTTCTTCAGATCTCCACTGTCTCCTTTTTTGAAGAGAAGTATTGTCAAACTTTCATTCCAATCAACTGGGACTTCTCCTCTGTGAAGACATTCGTTGAAATTTTTTTTCAATTTTTCGAGAATAATTTCACTCCCCTCCTTCAACATTTCGACAAGTATTCCATCTGGATCCGGAACCTTTTTGTTATATAGTTTTTCATATAACATAATAATTCTTCAAATCCAAAATTTGTATTTTGAGAATGATTTCCTAAGTGGAAGTGAAAATGATATTTATACGAACAAAAAACATATTAAAAATATTTGTCACATTTATTACTACTGACACAACGCTTTTAGAATCACATCAGACTGAGATGTTTATTTGCCGCTGGAGACATCTTGAAAAAATTATCAAAAGTCTATAAATCGCAAAAAGAATCAGATTTTGAATCAAAATTTTTAAGCTTTTTGAGGAATGACATTTTTGCATTATTTGGCCCATTAATTTTTTTGAAAAAGAAAACAGCACCAACAAAAGGAACGATATATTTCATAAACTTTTTTCAGTTTTTATTAATACAATTTTAAACTATTGAAAAATACAGTCTCCTTTCCTTTCTTAAACAGTATATAACAAGAGTATAAAATACTTCTCTATAAAGGCCTTCTCTAGGCATTTCGCACACGACAATAAAAATATAAAACAACTTTTTTAATATCTTTTACAATGGAGAAACGGAGCTGTTGTATCTGAAATGAATATTGCATTTCCTCCATGTTAAACCTGCCTCTAAGAATAATTTTCCGCTTCTTAAGCTACGTACAGAAGTGTGAAAGTGCACCCATAGCATACAAGTAAGGTACACGATGTAGTTCTGGAAAACCATTTATCTATTCCTCGCTCTTTTGCCGTAGTAGAGGTGGAAGACAATAGTTATTTGAGATCCAAAATTAGGGATGTGTAGACCTTCGGCAGTTATCAGTTGGACAAAAAAATATGTTAAATTGATTACTATATTTTTAGTTGCGTATTAGTTAATTAAAATATTGATGCTTTCTGTACATTCGATGACTTTTATATAACATATAAAGCCATGAAAAGTAAAAAGGATATGTATGTTCAATCTAGATATCGCTGGTTTCTTCCGTTTCTATTGGGTATGCATATTACCATAGAAGAATAAAAGTAAGAGGACTATATAAAACTCTATTTAAAAACAAGTAAAACTAAAAGACAAATAAATATACATAAACATACCTATATTCAAATATAATCAAATATAAATAGCTACAAATTAAAATATTATGTGATACGAAACCAAATTTATTTATAGTTTAAATAAGTTTACAAAAGATATTATATAAGCGACAATAAAAAAAAAATTACGTGCAAAACATATACAATATAGAACCCATTCCAGACATAAAAACCACTACACGATGGCAATTGTATGTACCTGTGCCCCAACAAAGGTGTGAGAAATGCCTTAATATGCACGGAATTCGGATCCGGCAACTGATCCATAAAGTAGCATTATGGTAAATTGATAAAAGAAAATTGTAGGAAATTGATAAAAGAATTTTAGAGGGCATATTAGAAAATGTAAATGAAGACACGTACTGTTTAAGCTTTGAAAATGATGAGGCTGATCAAGTCAGTAATTTTGTTAAAGACCTCAATAAAATGGCTTCTAATGATAATGTTGTTGAAAATATTATTTCTGTTTTAAATTAAAAACACTCTCCCAAGAGTAGACCAAAAAAGGGTAGGAAAAGAAAACATGCCAACAAAACAGAGAAATAAGGAAAAAGCTTTGTGTACAAAACGAAGATTATTTTACACAAAAGAATACATTAAAAAAATGTAAAGAATTTTGTTATTATAATATCTGTCCTTGCCAATGTTTGAAAACTATCGGAGAAGAAAATGCTCTAAACGAATTTAATAAATTTTATAATGTTCAATCACATGATGCCCAGCGCGCATTACTATGATCGTATGTCCAAGAAGTCGAAATCAAAAGAAAACGAGTAAAAGTATCAACTACTAGAAAATTTAGTAGAGTGTTTAAAATTATGTGGCAAAACTGTTTGTAAAAATTTCTTTTTACAAACGCTAAGGATATAAAAAATGTAAAGTTGATTCAGCTTTGAAAAACATGAAGCGACCAGAAGGAGTTCGTGACTGTCGGGGCAAAAGTGGTGGTAAAAATAAGACTGATCCCATTCGACTTCAGGAAGTTATGGACCATATTCACAAATTTCCCAAATACAAGTCCCATTACAGACAATCAATCACAGAAGCAGAATTTCCTACAGAAGAAACAACTGCTGCAAAAATGTATGAGTTGTACTCCGAAGAATTGAGAAAGCCAGTGAGTTTTTCTTTATATAAATAAATTTTTTTGACAAAATTTAACCTTCGCAGGACAAAAATTAAGAAAGATACTTGTAATGTGTGTGATCGGTTAGAAAATGAAATAAAACATTGTGTGGATAATGATAAACTACTGATTTTAAGAAACGAAAAAGATTTACATTTGGAAACAGCAGAAAAAGCACAAAATAAAAGAAAAGAAGACATGCCAGCTAAGAATCAGCTTGATACAGAAACTCTATCCCGACTAATATAGTTTATTATAAAAGGCAGTTTTGTGTGTAAAACTTAGGCATACACAGTGAACAAACGAACAAAGGACATTGCTATGTTTGGATTGAAGGAGAAGCAGGTAGGGGTGCTCAAGAAGTTGGCAGCTGCCTTAGAAAACACATTAAAGAAAATGTGACTTCCAAGAAATTAATCCTTGGGTCTTACTCATGTGGTGGCCAAAACCGCAACATCAAGATTATATTAATAAGGAAAATAGTTTTGGAAAGTCACCCTACTCTTGAACAAATTACATTGAGATATCTTCTCCCAGGACACAGTTTTTTCTACCTAACGACTCAGATTTTGGAGATATCGAATCTGCACTCAAACTGCAACAACGGTTGTATACAGTAAATGATAACATCGAAATTAAGAAAGCATGTCGTAAAAAAAAATCCTTTAGTTGTGCACACAATGACAAATGAAGAGTTCGTGGGAATAGAAATATTGGAAAAACAAATTACCAATCGTAAAACTGATGTTACAAATGGTAAGGTGAGTTGGCTTAAAACAAGAGAAATTAACATTCAAAAAGGAAAACCTGGTACTATTTTAATGAAAAGTGACTTTAATCAG